TAAAACCAATGGAGCTATAATGTAAGCTACTGACAATGCAGAATAAATTAATGCATTTTTTGAAACCAAATGGCCTATATCCAAGTTCAAAACAAAACACAGCACTCCTCCATGTGAATCATAAAAAGCTTAATTTGTCAGAGAGAGATTACTACTGTATTAAACAGTTTTGGTTTAATATCATCACCTTGACTGGTGATGGGGCTGGACTGCAAACTGTCTCAAGTTCAAATTGCAATTTCACACACTCAGTCATGCTTGCAGATTGGGATGTGCTGTTCCCATTAAAAAACAAATGAATTTTTTAAACTATAATGGCTGTCAACTACTGTCAGAATGTGACAAAACTGCTGGCAAGTAGTGCCTAAAATACAAAGCATAACAATACATTTATATGAGATAATACTTAATTGGCAAATAAGTGTTTCTTGCAAGAATTTATAATCTTGGCATAGACTTCTGAAATTCAAGAATCTTAATCTTGTCTTGGAGAATTATTTACTTTTCAATTTATTGCAACTGTACTGATACAAGTAAATTTAAAAGGGCATAAGGATTATCAAGTTTCTTGGCATCCTGAGTGTAATAAAAACTGATCAAAAATGTATTTTATACATCATAAATACCTAATTCCTTCTTCCATTGGGTCTTTTTAAATTCCAATAAGGCTTTCTCCCCTTCTCTTTCACCCAAAGTACTAAACAAGTCAGCAGGTTTCCATAAATCCTTTCTAGAAAAAAGGAGGGGGAAGATTTTTATCTAGAAAGCTGATCTGTTAAATTTTTTTAATTAGCATTTATAAACAATATTAAAGTTATTAAGAACATTTGACACAAACCTTTATTGGAGACAATTTTTGTACGCAGTTACACAAATGTACCTACATCACTTTCTGTCCTGGCTGAAGATGTGCTTCTTGTTTCCTGCCTGAATCAGAGTTTGCTTCATCTGCAACTGGGGACACTTCACAGTCTTTTTGGAGTGATGCTATAACATTTTCCTCTGATGCCTCATTAGTAGCTGTGTTAGAACATAAATATATATAAATGTAAATATAACCACTAAACCAGGCCTGCTTATATAGTTAAGGCATATAAGTTACACCTTCACAGGGTATTTTTAAAATGCTAGACTCAATAATCACTTATTCTGGGCTAAGGGCTCAGAGTTTGGGACTCTAATTAATTGCAGGATGTCTTATTCTTTGTGCAAAAAGCTGACCCCCTCCACAGATCCACCAAGGGGAGGAAGGATGCAATAAAGGAAGATAAGCAACGGTTCTTAAACTTCCGAGTAGCAGAACTGGGGAGGGAAAAAGAAAAATACTGTTTGGCACTAATAGTCCAGTTAGGCGAAATGACACATTCATCTTTGGCCATAGGAAAATGGCAGAACTGCTCTTGAGACACAGAGGATGGCCTGAACTCTTCACAAGCCAGAAGGGCCCTTCTCTTTGGGCAGTGGTACAGTGCAGTTCTATGTGTCACTCCCCAGTGTAAAATGGTTCTTAACTTGCGTGGAATAGTGACAACGTTTCTTGCTGGCATGCTCTTCAGAATATTGGAAACGTATTAAACAACCTTTTTCACTATTCTAATTCTGAAATGCTTGGTTCCTCACAGTAACAATGTCATGTCCGTAATAGCAAATGGTACTTTGTCTGAGACCATCCAATGTAAGTGTAACATCTCTACAATGTGCAAATAAATTATCAACTCAAAGTTAAGTTTTCAGATTTTGCTCAGTTTCCATGAAACAAATGCATCCAATGGCTGGTATCTTACCCACTTCCTCTTGCTTTTCATTATGAGTCTCAGAGATGCTTCTTCCTTCTTTAACAATCATCAAAATCTGTTGAAGCTCTGCTTGTGTTAAACACACCAAACTTTTTAAGTCTTCAGCTGATACATGTGGGGCTTGAGGTTTGTGTTTAGTTTTTTTCACAATACTAGGATCCTCTGAATCAGGATATCTGTTTGTCTTATCTCTTTGGAAGATCAAAGAGTAACCTTTAGTTGTGCCTTCATGTGAGGAGCGTTTATCAACTTGCAGTTTTTCAGCTTTTGTCATTGATAAGCTTGATTCACTCCTTGGCTTTGTTAAATTTTCCTGCTTGATACAAGCATTTTGTGTTGGCTTCAAGATGAGCCCAGTGTGCTTTACTCTCAATGCCTGTTTAGGTGCTCTGGCTTTATTACCCATCTGTTAAAGTAAAAAGATTTCACCATCTATTAAATAAGGGAAAAAAAAGCATCTGTAAAAAATGAAAACAATATTCAAGAAACAAGGAAAATAAGTATAATTTTTCTTTTCTGTTCCATATGTAGAAACTCTGTATAAGCTAATGAAAGATCTTAATGAATACCAGGAATACTCTGGAAGAGGACACAGCACCTGAATTTGAGTACTTCAAAATGACAGTACGAATAACAACTTTAAGTAGCATGACATTTAAAAGAATTAACAAGTATTAATTCTGCTTTACTTTGGTGTTTCTGAAGCCTTGCACCCGATAGGTACATGTTTTCACCATGCAGCAGTATTTCAACCTTGATTTTTCTGAATTAAAGATTTCTCCTTTCCAAGGTCCTTGGTGCAAACTTGCAATTATTTCCTGCGTATTGGAACCTTTTTCTGCATTTTCTCCTTCCCAAAACCCACCACAAGTTAGTTTACTCAGAGACAACGTGTATGACCAAACTTGAAATTAAACACACTTCAGACCTCTGTTTTACCAGAATTCCTTTAAGGACTGAAAGGTTTCTGATTTAGGTGATTCCCTCTGCTGCTCTAACTTGGCCAAGAAAACTAAAGCATTTTGAAAAGGTAAAAATAGTCACAAAACTTTTAATTCATCCTTTCGAACAGCTATTATAAATCTGAGAAATAACAGAGTATCTCAAGTTAGAAGGGACTCATAAGCACATATTTCTCTTTCATAAATATAATTGATTACAAATATTTAAACAGTTCAATTTCTCAAATTTTCTGTTAACAAATAATGAATTTGTGTGTTCTAAGGATTTTACACTTACCTTCATGGCAGGCTTTGATTTATCTTTTGGGAAACAAACACAAACATATGAAAGAAATATTTAATAACAACTTGTTCCTGAAAAACAATCTTGAGAAATTAGTGAAACTTTATAGTTAATTTTAAAAATCAGTTAATTACAGAAATTATAGAAATTAGTAAAAATTATATTAATCTGATTTGTGTAAACCAGGGGGAAAGTACTTTCCCCATACCATCTTCCCTGATTACTTTACTTATTTTTATTTATTTCAGTATACACACTTCAAAAGTACATTGAAAAAAAAAATTAGATATATTTCAGTAACTATTTCCTGTAAAAAAAACCTGTATGGTTTTATACACATCTAATAAAATTATTGTGCCAGTCTGACCTTCCCCTGCTATTCAGTGTTTCTCAGATAATGCCTTCTTTGGTTCCATGTTCTTGTTTGTCTCCATTACTCCCACACCCGTGTCCTGAATTACTCTTCAGTCTTCTAACTCACATCCTTAGAGTGTAGTAATCTCAAAAATAGCAAGTACCATGTTCAATATACTTATGAATAAAGAATGTTCTAATATTAATAGAGGGAATGTGGTACTCAGGAAATCCTGCATACATAGCTATTTACTTTGATTTTTTTTCTGCGTAAAAGAGAAAAGCTACCTCCAGTAGCAGCTTGCAAAATGTATGCTGACTAAGAATATATATATGCTTGCTTAAATGAACTGTATAACCAAAAATAATGCTAGTGGAAAAAAGATATTTTAAAGAAAGAATGGGAAGCTGAAGAGACATCAAAAGATCATCTCAGACCACCTGCCCAACAGATCTTCAAAAACCACAACTGCTGATTATGAAGAAAAGCAAGTAGAAAATAAATGAAAATTTGAAGAAGTGATGTGCGTATAATTTATAAGAGACTACTGTTGGAGACATGAATTTGTGCGTTGCTTGGGGTGGACACCCCTGCGCACTCAGCGCTGTCATTGCTCACCCTCTTATTGAACAAATTAATAAACTGGCTATATTGCTTCATGGATTGGCAAGTCTGGCTGTTCATTTATAAGAAAAACACCACATAATGTCTAATTAGGCAGCTGTCTGGTAAATGCAGAAAACAAAATATAACTTAAATGGCATTTAATGGAGAATTTCTGTATCCTGACTATGTAGAACACTTTAGGAAAAGCAGACTTGTGCAGAAATGTATGTCTGACAAATCACAAAAAAAGAATTTATTGCAGAGACATATGACTGACAAATCATAGAAACAGAGTTTATTAACACTTAATTACCAACATAGGTTTTTCCATTATATCTCAGATGGTAGTAGTGAGATTTGGCCTAAATAAACTGCTTATTGAAAATTAAAAATTATAATCAGAAATACCAAAGCTACTTTAAAGATGTGATTGCAATGATATGCTGTGTAGATTAAGCAGTTATTAAGCCTCTTTTATCAGGGCAAGTAATATGCTATAAAGTTACAGAAAATATCAAGTTATGCCAGTTGATACACAATAGCACTTAACTTTTTGTTTCAATGATAATCTAAGCAGTGGAGACTATTTGCAAGCTGTTCCCTGGTACACAGACTATTCAGAATTCATTATCAACCTACTGTTCAGAACCGAGCTGGTGAGAGAGAGGACTTGTAAATAACAATCCTAATCTGAAAAATATTTCAGGAAAGATGGCCTTTATGTCTCTTGGATAGTAGGTTTAACTTCAAGAAGCTTTAAAGATTACTTGAAATAAATAATTAAGAAAATACCAGAAGAAGCTAAAATTAGCCTAGGCTTTCCATCCAGCACTTCAGTTTCGAGCTTCAGTCCATCACTGTAAAACGAGAGAGAGAGGGGAATCTGAAATATTAAGTAACGTGATAACGGTAAGATTTTTACATTAATAACAAGAACAATTGAGTACAATTGTATTGTACTGTACACAGTATTTACTGTTGTTCCAGATGGTCCTTCACATCCCAAACTATGTTTTGAGAAGTTACTTAAAACAAAGAAATCAACGTGTTTTGAAGAGGGTAGTTTTATTGACACTGGAAAAAAAAATGGATTGGCATGTTGCAAAAAAACATTAAAGGTAGCATTCAGTATCGTTATACAGAGCAATACTCCTCAAGAATTTAATAATCCAACAATATAAACTGGGCGCCACACAAATCTCTATCCAAATCTCCCAGAACACCAGCGCCGATCACAAAGCAGAGCTGTATTCTGGAAACAGCCTTTGGCTGTGCTTCCGCTCACAATTCACCTTTGCAAGTGGAACAAGCGCTGTTACAAGCGTTTACGAGAAGAGAAAAACGTGGCGGTATAAGTACCCAGCTCTCTGTCTTTCTTCGTGCGCTGGGACAATCCGACATGACGGTAAGCGCTCCAAGTTGTAACACTTTATCTTCACACTTCGTTATAGAAACGTTAACAAGGAAAAAATCCAGCGCAGTTCGAGCTCGCACGCAACTTTCTAAGGGGCACCTTAGAAGGGGCACTTCAATAAGCGGAGCTGCCGCCCGGCCCGGCCCCGTCCCGCTTTGTGTCGCAGCCGGCGGGGACCGCGGAGGGTGCGCGCTGACCTCGCTCTGCCGGAATCCCGGGCATCCCGCCCCCTCCACCGCTTCCCAGAGCCCGTCCCGAGGCCCTCCCACGGGAACGGCTGCTAGTCCCCGGCTCTGCCCCGCAGATCACTCCCGTTCCCTCAGCTGCGAGGCACTGCGCGCCCTGGCGCGGGACCGACGCGTTCGGCGGGGCCGGGCCCGCCCTTACCCCAGGTCCCTGGCGCTGCCCGCCCTTACCCCAGGTCCTGGCGCTGCCCGCCCTTACCCCAGGTCCCTGGCGCTGCCCGCCCTTACCCCAGGTCCATGGCGCTGCCCGGCGGCCGCGGAGCCCCGCGCATCTCTCTCCCTCAGCCCCGCGCCCCGCTGAAGGAGCCGCGCGCCGATTGGCTGCCCGCGGGGGGCCTCCACCAATGAGCATCCGCAGCACTGCGGGGCGGTGCGGCCGGGAGTGCGGAGGATGAGGGCCCGCACGCCCCCCGAGCCCGGAGTACCGGGGGATGGCATCTCGCAGCCCCGCTGAGGCTGCCAAACAATTGGCGGGCGATTATCCCCGGGCTCGAGAGCTGCGGAGGAAGTGGGGGCCAGAACGGCTCTCTCGGCACTGCGGAGTCCGGAGAGAAGAGAGCGCAATGAAGCTGAGCAGGGAGCGCCGGGGCAGCCGAGCACGGAGGAGCCGAGACACGGCCCGGGCCCGGGGCCGGGCGGGAGCGAAGGGCAGAGAGCTGCCGAGCGAAGCGGCGGAGCCGTGCCCCGCTAGGAGCCGTCCCGTCGCTCTGGCTGCCGTGTCCCGGCTCGGCCCGGCTTCTGCATCACGCTCCGGCCCTTGGCGATCGCCACTGGGCTGCTGGTTTCCCACACCGCGCTGCAGGCGCTGGTGCGTGTTCCTGGGTGGTTTGTGATACTCGAGAAGTGCGTTTTAGGAGCTGGAGGCTGAGCACTGCTGTTGCGTGGGTATACACCTGGAATAATGGGACTCGTAAACCTGTAAATGAAACGAATCTACGTTTTGCAAAGGAGGATTTAGTTGTATTAAAGAGTATAGTCAGATTCAATAAAATGCTTCAGAGCCCGTTATTTTACTATTCAAGATGGCATTTAGGCTTATGCCTAAGGCCAAATGCTTACTGAATTCCGTTATTTCAAAGGAGGTTAAGACCTCAAGATCTGTCTGGAATAGTGTTGCTTCTAGATATGGTTAATTTTATCTTGCCAAGGGTACCATAGATAAAGGGGCAGATCCTCTGGTGTGTTCTTCAGCTGAAGGTAAGAGAAGTGCTGCCCTTGTGAGATTGCACAGAAAATGAAGCAATAATTGAGCAGTAGGCAGTTGAGGTGGAGTTTATTGTGTGCACAAAATCTCTGAACTGCTCTGCTTGTATTTCTATAAAATTATCACTCATCAGACAAAATTATTAATTTATCCCTCTAAATATTGCTTTGCAGCTTATTGTTTGGTGCTTATCTATACATCACCTAAGAAGTCTTTGAAACTTTCATTTAGGGACTAGAACAAGGGAAGAAAACAACAGAAAGCCTGGAGTTTTTCTCAATAGTGCACTGGTTATGAAGTCCTGTGAAGCACAGAACATACAAGATGGGTGATAAAAGCAGTGAGATTTCACCCTCTGCTTCACAATGGATTCCCTAAATTAATATATTTCCATTATACCTGCAGAATTTTAAATAAGATAGCAAACCACACCTGGCTCCTGCTTTTTGTCAGAAACAGCAGGTGGCAATATTTCAATTTCAAGCATCTTTTCAAAACTTTGTCATAGAGAAAATCATCTTATAAGGACTGTAAAACAAGTTTCATGGTCCATTTAGATTTCTTTTTATATTTTGTAAATTATTAGTGTTTTGCTAGGCAAGTGATATGTTCTTTCAAAAAGCTGATGGTAGTTGATTGGTGGTTTCAGAACTTGGGTAAAAAACAGCTGTGTTCTTTGTAGACAAATCAAGACTACCTGCAAAACTTGTACTACACATATGGAACTGGATCTTTCAAAACTGGCAAGTCTTCCAGGCATTTGGTAAAACACTACACAAAGAAATTTTTTTGGCAAATAAACAGTAAATTTTGTAAAAGGACTTCCTACATGGTAAAAAGTATTAATTCCATTACTGCACACTTGGCTTTTTGTTACAATGAAGGCCAGGTAACTTCTTTTTTGCTTTCAGACTACCTTGGGAATGTCATGTGTCATTCCTGCATTAAGAGGCAGAAGTCTAAAAATATCCCAAGTCCTTTAAGAGAGCTGCAATTTCACAAGGAGTGCCTATGGAATGTTTACATATTGGAGAAGGACTGCATCAAAGTGTGCATTTATCAAAGATGGAAAGAAGAATACTCTGTGCCTCAGCAGGCCAGTTACCTGTCTTGCACTGAGGGGACATTGTGCTCTAATGCAGACAGCACAAATTTTAAGGCAGTCTATAAATTGACACATTTTCTTCTGTGGGCATGGAAATCTTACCTACAAGCTGTAATTTAAAATGTTTTTTGAAAACCAACAAAGGAGTCTTTGAAGATAAAACCTGTTCTGATATACATTTAAAAAATGCTTCTGCTTTTTCACCCTTAAATATTTGTTACTCATTGGAACCTTTCAAATTTAAGACAACTATTCTATTTAAAACTTCTAACATAGGGTGCATCAGGGAGTAAAACTCCAGCTTTAAGCTGGTTTTATCTTCCCTGTATCTTTCCACAAGACATGAAATTAATTGCCTCCAACTGACATATATTTTTGTAATATGTGGCTGCAGAATCTACATATTATCATTTGGCATTTTAATATTTTGGACTGGATTCTTTAGCCACACATTCCAAACTATGGATAATATATCTGTTCATGACAGTAAGTCTGATTGCATGGACTAACTACCTTCTAACTTGTCATGCTTCCATATTATAATTACCTTTAGTGGTTTTATTTACTGATTCTTTGTGGAATTTCATGTGGCTATTAGAATCCAACATAATGGACAGCATAGGAGTTGAAATTAAGAAATCTAAAGACTGTTTCCTTTACTGCTTGTCCAGAGATATTATTTACAGTGCTTATACCTTTAGAGAGGAGAATAGAGGAGATAAACTTGTTTCTATAATGCAAGGGCTGTTGCAGTGCTTGCAGGAAAAGCATTACCAGGCTCTATTTCATTTCCTGATAATCACCAGCATTCCCAAGTCCTTGATTTATCATTCTAGAAGACTGAATAAAATGTTTTCAGGCTACATGAATTTCTCCTGAGGATCATGAAACACAATACAAGCACTTCAATCACTCATTAATTAAACTTTTTAATAGCTCATATAAGCAAGGTAAGAGGATGAGATTTCAGTGGGAGGTAGGTGTTACAAAAGCCCCATCAGGTGTCTGTCTTCATCTCCAGACACATAAATACCATTAATATCTGGTCTTAATTGACTTAAGAGAACAAATCACATTGATTTTTCAATCACTTAACTCATGAGAGCCCCACTCAGATTGGTTGTATTTATTTTCTAGGTGGATAAATGGATTGGCACAATGATTAAATTGAACACTGTTGATGATGCCTTGTGGAAGCTGGAACCATGGGGCTTTGGCCTGGAATTCAGTTTCCTAATGTATTTACAGTGCAAATGCAGCTGAGAGGGTCTCCCAATACATTTCTTTGGGGCTTGCATATGGAATGTAGCCAGATTTGTATTTGGCCTTGTTGCTGCATGGGCAAGTGTTTTTAAAAAGTTGAATATGCTGCTAATGTGGTTTGAGTCATTAATTTCTGTTTTTTACCTTATTTCTGGAGGAAGGGATTCCCAGACCTTCTCAGAATAATGTGACTTTCATAGCAAGTGTATCCTTATACCTCACAGTGATGGGCAGAAATCATTATCCTTCCTCTTAATACTTGTATGTAGGTTCTCTACTCAGCCATTGCTGTAAAGTAAATCAGGAGTGTCCTTAAAGTTTCAAATTCATACATAGCTTTCAGGGCTTCTGGAGTTAAATGGGAAACGTAAACAGTTTTGGCCTTGCTTCCAATACGTTTTAGATAATGCAAATGGAAGTTTTTAGACTTCTTTCCTTGATTGCTTCCTGAAAAAGCAACACGATGAAGAGTAACTAGCAACTGAATGCAATCAAATGCCAGCATGAGATGATGTTAATCTTCAGCCAGCACACACTTGATGATTAATGGAATGAACGTGTGATCTGTGTGCCAAATAAACTGAGTGGTAAAATAAAAAAAATATTTAAAGAAAATAATTTGGTTTTTGATACTCCAGTTGACACAGGACTGCATGTTCTGATTCAAAACTATAATTCCAAACAGGGGCTTATGTGATGTCCATAAATTAGTCTTTATATCTGATATCATAGATACTCTCTATATACTGAGAAGTTTATAAACACTAGAATATTTCTGAAATACATTCCTCTGTAGGAGAGGAATTCAGTTTCTGAAACCTGCCTTTGTTGCCAAGAAATGTGCAGGCCACCCATACCATGCTTTTGTTCTCAGTAGTTTTGCGGTTTTGCACATCTCCTTCCTTCATACAGATGGATTTAAATGATAGCTGTCCTTGAGATTGTGTACATGGGCATTGTTTGCATAACCTGTTTGTGGAGTATATATATATATATATTTATATTCTCAAATATGCACAGCTTAGGCCACCAAGAAACACATAAGGAATGTAAAGAAAATATGTTTTTACTGCATATATATTACTGAACAACATTCAACTGTGAGGAAAAACTGGGGAGTAAACAACCCACATTTATGTAAATTGAAACCTGCAGCAGTCTTTTTCTTTCATAACATGCAAGTGCCTGGGTTTGATTGGGCTGCAGTCAGAGCAATGGGTGGTAAAAAGGCTGTTGCTCCAGTGGAGTTGTACCATATCAGAACAAGAAATCTTAATTTCCCCTTGAGATAAGCCTTTCAATTGGTTGCTTGGGCTTTATAGCATTTGACATAAGTATTGTGAATTATTTTGTGTATTTGGGTATCTCCTGTACACCTAAGAATGGTAACTTTTGCACTCATCTTTGTTTGTAGGAATTATTCAGAGATTACATAACTGGATCTTTCCCAAAAAGGCTTCATTCTGCGTCAAAAGGACAGGTATAGTTGCTGCATATCTGTTTGTGCACAGCACTTTCAAACTTCCAAAGCCATAGTTCTCCTCATAGTCAGTTCCTGTACTGTTTCTTCACATGGAAATTTTAACTGAAAAAAAGGTCTCAAATCCATCACAAAAATTATTTAAATGTTTATGTGACTAAAAAAGGATTTCTATGTAGAGTTATGATAGAGCGGTATAAAGTGTAGAACTTATGTATGGTAAGGCAAAAGGTAATCAAGAAAAGAATGGATTGTGGTCTAAGTTAAGAACCTGAGGAACTGCAGATTTTTACCAAGTTTTCTTTTTACATTCTTACTAGCAAAGAAACAAAACCTCATTGTCATTTACTGTAATACAGAGTGACTGTCAAAACATGAAGTTGTCATATTCCTTACAAATATATTCCTCAACAAATGTTGGGAAGGAATAAATTTTGCATCAAAATCACAGTATTTTCTGGAAATGAGAGTTTAGAGTGCTATTTATATAATGCTAATATGTAGTGTCAACTTTGGATTTAAAAAAAAATTAAATTAAAAATGATCAGCTTACTAAGTGGGGATGGACGAGTGTTCCTTTGGAACAGTGTATCGTCTTTTTGTTCCCCTAAAGATATATTTTGATGTAGTTTATAATTAAACACTATAAAAGCAAGGATTACCACTTAACATTTCATTTTTTGTCAGGAAAACATCTCCTGCAAAATACTTACAAATGAGTCTCTTCTGCAGTCTTGACTGAAATGCATTATGCAGAAATCTGACAACTGCTCAGTACAATTTGCAAGCTGCAGAGAATTCAAAGTAGTCTTTGATGTCTAGGCAGAAATTCACTGTACAGCAGGGAGTTTAGGTTGGTTCTCTGCATTTTATCAGCCTATGTTGTGTTTAATTAAGACATGGCAAGCATCTCAGGATTAGCCTTTGACAGCTCAGAGTTTTTGCTCCAAGTTAATAAGCCTATTTTTTTTTTTTTTTTTTTTCTCTCCCATTTTTCCCCTTCATAAAATTCCAATAGGCTGTCAAATTTTCTACTACTTTTCTTGAAGGAGCCTTCTTTTGGATAGAGACATCAAATTGGCACTGGTGAGTTCTTCAGCTTCCTGCACAGTAATTGGCCCATGTGAACTGGTGAGATTTTACTACCTAGCAGAAGCATTAAATGTTATGAAATTAATATCTCACAGCAGGTATAAAATAAATGTCCAGTATGAGGACTGAAGAAACTGTCCTCACAAGAAATCAAGTATGGATTGGAACATACACCAATGAAAGCAAAATGAAAAACAAGAAGAACCTTAGCAAGAGCAACAGAAAACAACCAAATAATTGAACTAGTAATGATATATGTTTGTAATTGTTATCAAATATTAATGATTTTCATGAAACCAGAAAAAACTGTGGAAAATTAAATACTAATAAAATAAAACTATATTATACTTTAAAAATTGAGAATGTCCTCTTTAAGAGACCAAAGGAATGGAGAAAAGAGGGAGAAAGTTAAATCCTCTGCGTACAAAAAATGGGTCAAGCCACTGAATTTTTTCTGAGCAAGCACTTGTTCAGGGCTTATACATTCCCTCTCTTCTTTATTCTGCTTCTGTGTACGTACACTTTTAAAGTGCAACTTACCTTAAAAAGAAAACATCCATAAATTAAAAACTCCTAAGATAAAAACAACTGTATACATTGAATGAGAAATGTTCATCAGAGCTTGGACAAATCTTATGTAGAGGATATTCTAGGAGAAAGCACTGAAGCAATCAAACTTAAACCAGCTGCAGAAATAAAGAAGAAAATTATAGCTTTGGCAAATGAATGCTAGTAATTATATTTCTATCACTTTGTATTATATTGTTTGTCTTCTTGGGATAAGATTTAACTTATTCAGTCTGAACCATTCTGATTGCTAGAACTTGGGCAAAGGGACTGTTCAGAAGAACCCCTGAGGGAAAGTAAAACCATGTGTTCACACTGTAATGGATCTTATCTGAAAAGTGAAAGGTATGTTCTGAGCTCCTGGGGCTTTTGTGTTCAATTTTTAAACCCAAATTTTTCAGGGATTTTAGGGTGGACTCAGCACTGAGTTGCAGAGTTCCCTCAACTTGGGAAGTGAGGGCAGGTATAAAAGAACTTATTTTTATGCAGGAAATAAATAGAGCTCTGACAGTATGTACAAAGTAATGTTTTTTTCTTCAAAACTGAATGTTTTGCATGCTTTTTTCAAATTTCTCATTGGAGGGCAACTACAGAAATGCTGCACATATTAAAATGATCAGTGAGTGTATAGTAAGTACAAATGTTACACTTTATTGTAACATGACTTAGGAAAATAATTAATATACCATCATGATGTTTAGGGAATATGGGATTATTTTGTGCATTTTAAAGTTTTGTTGGGATGATCAATCTACATTTAAGTATATTTGTCTGATAATGGTAGGGAAGCACATCCATGGACACAGGCAAAAACGAGCAAGCAGATATCTCTAGAGCCATTCTCAGACGCTTTTGTATTTTTGTACTTTTGCCACTCTGATTAGCAAAAATCTTGAGTATCAGCAGACTGAATATAAAGATATTTATGCTGAAGGATAATTACTGGGGTTTTCTACCAAATTTCCTCATTTCTCCTTTTCTTTTTACACTGTAAATTGTTGTTTTTATAGGCATTTCCATATTTCTTGTCTTTCCCTTTATCAGTATTGGTTTCTTCCCAAAATTTCAGCCCATTCTCTTTTCCTTCACTGTTGAACTGTCAATTTAATTTGATTCATACTTATGTTTGGAGGGAGGAGTGATAAATTATTGCAAACATCACTTGCTGCATTATATGGAGTTAGAATATGAAGGAAAATGTTGTATGTATAGTTAGTACAATTTCCTGTTTGGTTCCATTTTTTTTTCTTTTTTTTTTTTGTTTTGTTTTGTTTGGTTGATCATTTATTTCTTATGGCTGTTGCTGGAGTACATAACCTAAATGTGAAAATAATAATAATAAAAAAATGTCCTTTTCCTTGCCATTTTGTTAGTCCCAATGTATGACAATTTCTGTTGGGAAAGCAGAATTTTATATGCATTTTCCAAAGATACTGTTAACATTACAGGTTACATGTCATGGTGAACTTAATCAGTACAATATCATAAATGCTCCCAAATGGAAAGTTTTATTATGATTTTGCCTTCCCTCCTTCAGAATTTGACAGTTGTAATTACAGTTGGCAATAGGTGAAACTTCATTGACTTCTATAGATTTATGAACTATAACCTAACAGTTCCACTTCCAGAAATTCCTTGGATTTCTTTCATATTTTATGCAGTACTTTGGAGATCTTTTACTGGCTAAATCATGCATTAAAAAGATAACCAAAACAGTAATTGCAGATTCAGCTATGAGCAGAAGAAATAATTGTAGAAATTAATTTGGTTAAAAACCATCAACTACACTGAATCCTCCTGCCTGTTAAATTCAACAATTAAAAAAAAGGCTTTTAGAATTGGAAATATTTTGCTTTTATGCTCATGTCTTATTTTTAACCTGTCCAAACCTTAGGTATAGCTGAAAGAGAATATGAAGCTTAATGGAGATTTAACAAAAAAGAAAAGAGTGACCTACTCTAATGTAATGCTTTCCATCATCTTTTGTATGAGTATCCCATTTTGTCAAGTTTTCTAAGCAAAGCCCTTCAACTGTAACTTGCTTCTTAAACCAAGTTAGGCTTGATCTTGGATATATTTTAAAACAATTTCAATAAACCTCAACAAATGGTACTTGCTGAGTATTATCATTTTCATTAGCGCTTTAGAATTTCTGAGCATATAAATTAATTTAGTTGTAGTCTTTATCAGTCTTTGAAGAGCATGTTAATTATATTTGGCAATAATTGCTTTGCAGAAAATTGGGAAATCAGCCTGTATCTCTTAAATGGTTTATGATTCAGTCCCACTTCATGAGTAAGCTTTGCCAACTGTTTTGTTTTTACAATGAAAGCTTTATATATGTGGGGGTGTGTGTACACATGCATACGTATATTAAATATATATAAATGTATGGAGTTCTTATAAGTGTACTTACCCAAAAATATAAGTATTTACTGTATTTCTTTTCTGCTCATTCTGAAAGCTTCACACTATTGAATTAGATAAGCTTGAATAGAAACAGATTGGGACACGAGTAATTCAGGATATTCTTTTTGAATAGGCAACAGAGCTTTATTAAGAAAAGGAGATAAAACTGTTGTGCCATGGCTTTCAAAATGTTCTGTGCTTCTGCAAAACAATTATTGCTAGATATTATTAACATTCTCTTCAAAGAAAAAAACACTTATCCGTCTACTACAGGATGAGCCTGAACATGACAAGTGTGATGTGGAACCATCACATTCTTACTAGAGCTCATGTCAGGCTGGAGTTCCTTCTGCAGGGGCTTTTCTGTCCTGCTGTAATGCACATCTGATAGTGCTGCTGTAATATTCTGGAACAAATGAAATCTGCCAGCCATTATTCTAGTATCTACAAGTAATTGCTTCATACTTGCACAAATCTTCATGGGTTATAAAAAGTTACCAGTTTCTGAAAGGGAGTTTTGTAGTGTTGTGTCATACCTAGGTTTTTAATTGAGTATGCTTTCACAACATGGGTAATTCAAATGTGTATGTTATTGGATCATAATCATAAGAATGAGCTGAATTCTGTCACTTTTATGTACATTAAGTTGAAAATAACCGGGGTTTAAAAGGATTATTGCCAGACCAATGAACGTTTCAGAAAAGGAATCTGTCTGGAAAGCTGCAAGTGTAGAGGCTGCACACTGACACAGTAATGACCACTTATGTTTCTAACAGTGATTACAAATATTTTTCCTGAAATTTTGGATGATTATTCTTAGCCAACTGTATGTTTGTGAGTGCTTTTTGACTTATATTTTGGGAGTTAGATTACAGAGCTGGAAATACAGTGTGCTACTACTATCTTGTTAGGAATGCCCAAATGGAATTTCCAAAGATAGCCTGTGAAACTGCCCTATGGCCAGGAGCTCAAACACATTGATTGCTATTCCTGAATAATTGGGGCGTAACCTCTTCTCTCCCTACTTCAGTCTTCCATTTGCAAAAAAGACCGGTATTAATAAACTCTTTGATAAGATTTTTCTTCAAATATGTTAGATTATGCTTTAAGTAGCATCTCCTTTTCATAGCATGTACACTGTTCTTACTTCCAGTAACCCAGAAAAATGCAGTTTCATCTCATCTCTATGGCTACGTGGTGTTATGCAATGTGACTTTTGAAAAATTGTAATTTAATTTTTGTCAAGGTAAATAAATTCTTTTGTTCGGTCTCAGGGAGAAGTAAAATACTGAAAATAATATTATTAGAAAGGCTACATGGTTCTTCATGTGTATGATAGATAATTTTTCATAAATTATTTAAATAATTGGCAAATTGAAGGACTGAAGCTTTGCATAAAAGCTTCTCTGAAAGGGATTCCTTACCCAGACTGTGCTATAAACACATCACCTCTGACAGCTGCAGTATAGAAGGGGTGGTTGTCTGAATGATCTCTCCCTTTCTGTATGTACATATATATATAGAGAGAGAGATAATAGAAGGGACCTGTTGCCTGTGTGTCTTTTATCACTTCCATCTCTTTCCTTAAAAAAAGGAGTTACTGTGTTTTTCTTCTCTCATGCTAAGGAAATCAACAACAACACCTGAGATCTTTCTGAATGACCTTTGTATACCTGTGAGGTTTGCATAAGCCAAATAACACCATGAGATTAAATTAAATTTTAAGGCCACTTGGGAGATCATAAAATGCTTACATATTTAACTCTTGATCTGGTGAAATGAAAAGAAGATGATGTCTGTGAAAATTAAAACTTTTTGTCATGGGTGCAAAATTTTCAAAAAGGGAGAAAAATAGGGGCAGTGGGACTGTTGACTGCCTAAAAGGCTGAGACTGCTGACCAATTTATGAAGAACTGATTTCTGAGAGTTCCAAGCTCAAAATAGATTCTACAGGTGCTTCAGAAACAGAGCTATTTCCATCTTCCTAATAAGTATATGGCAATGAAGACTTTCTATTCCCTGCTTCCATCTGTGTTCTACACCCATCTGTCATACTTCATCCCTGTTTAGATTGAAAATGTTCCTGATTTATGCAGTGTTTGTATTTACAAACTAAACAAACAATAGGCTGAATGTGACAGAAGCTGTCACATGGATGGCAGCCCTTGGCAGGAGAGCCACTGTTACAAGAGGTCATTTTTGTTCTTGGAGTTGTTAAATTTTGGTCTCTAATGCTTATCACGAAATAACTAAGAAAA